TCAAATACACTTCACTCAGTCACTGATCAGCAAGGAGGATATATTTTGACTTCACTGTGCTTCTGGCTAATGAAAGGCCATCGGTTATTTAGGGAAAGAATTCCTAAATTCATTATATTTTTGGATTTGGGGCCAAAAAATCAAACCAGATATCTTTTTTGGAGAAATAACTGGAGAGGCAAGAAGGAATAACAAATTTGCTGTAAAAGGCATTTAAGAAAGGCACTATTAGAATAATTTTAGATTTTAGATTTTATTGTCACATGTACTCAAGTACAGGAATACAGTGAAAAGTGTATAATGTAGCCACACATGGCACCATCTTAGGTACTGAAGTACCTAGGTACAAAAAAGCTTAGGTGCAAAGTAGTAAGAGAAACAAATAGAAAAATAAAGAAATAGGTTATAGTTTACATTAAAGTCTTTTGTAGTTTAAACTAGGAAAATAAAGGAATAAGCTAAAAGCTCAACAGCCTTTGAGTCTTCCGCTTATCTCGCTCTCTGGGAGACCTCAGCTGTCTGTTTCAAAGCAGCTGCCACAGATACCATCGCTGCTGTTGAAACTGCCGCCTCTCCCATCTCCCCCAGTGCCTCAGGAACGTGCTGGACAGGATCCGCTCGTACACTGAGCCAGGACATGGCCATGAGCCACCAAGAGACCAACTGACATAACGCCAAGATACCAGGCTGAAAGCCGCTGAGAGACCAGGACCAAGACCCACCATGAGCCGCTAAGGGATCAGGCTGGGACCCACCAAAAGACACCGTTGGGATTTCAATATGCAGGTGGACTGGGCAAATCGTGTTGGTAGTGGAACTCAAAAAAGAATTTGTGGAATGTCTGCAAGGTTTTTTGGACAACTGGTGGTAGAGTCAACTAGGGAACAGGTAATTCTGGAATTGATGGTGTGTAATGAAGCAGACTTGATTAGGCAGCTAAGGTGAAAGAATTTTGTGAAAACAGAGTCCCAGGTAGACAGGGTAGTGAAGAAGGCATTTGGTACGCTTCCCTTTATTAAACAGTGCATTGAGTATAGGAGTTGGGAGGTTATGTTGTGATTGTACAGGACAGTGTTCAGACCACTCTTGGAATACTGTGTTCAACTCTGGTCTGTTTGCCATAGGAAAGATGTTGTGAAATTTGAAAAGGTTCAGAAAAGATTTACAACGATGTTGTATAGGTTTGAGCTATAGTGAGAGGCTGAATAGGCTGGGACTATTTTCCCTAGAGCATTGGAGGCTGTGAGCTGATCTTAGAAGTCTATAAAATCATGAGGGGCATGATAGGGTGAATAGCCAAGGTCTTTTCCCTAGGGTAGGGGAGTCTCAAAACTAGAGAGCGTAGGTTCAGAGAAGACCTAAGGGGCAGCTTTTTCACAGAGGGTGGTGTATGTATGGAATGAGTTGCCAGTGGAGGCTGGTGCAATTACGACATTTAAAAGGCTTCTGAATGGGTATATGAATAGGAAGGGTTTAGAGGGGTGTGGGCCAACTGCTGGCAAATGGGACCACATTAATTAATTTAGAAGATTGAATCAGATGTAACTGTGTTACAGTTGAGTAAAGGTAACTACAAAAACATGATGGAGGAGCTGACAGGAAGGGGAGCCTAGCAGGGAAAGAGGATAGAGCAACAGTGACAGGAGTTTCTGGGAGCAATTCAGTAGAAATTCAACCCAAGGAAGAAGAAACGTACTAAGGGGAGGATGAAGTAACCATTGCTGATGAGGGATGTTGGGGACCACATAAAAGCAAAAAAAAAATACAATGCGGTGAAGGTTACTGGGAAGCCAAGGATTCAAGGATTGGGAAGCTTTAAAAATCAGCAGAGGATAACTAAAAAAGCAATAAAGAGGGAGAAGATGAACTAAGAGAGTAAGCTAGCTAGTAATATAAAAGAAGATTGCAAGTCTTTTTAGATTTGAGAGGTTAGAGGCAAGAGTGGACCTTGGACCACTGGAAAATGAGGCTAGAGAAGTAGTAATGGAAACAAAGAAATGGTAGAAGAACTGAATAGGTACTTGGCATCATTTTTCACAGTGAAAGACACCAGCAGCATACCAGAATTTCACGAGATTCAGGGAGCAAAAGTGAGTTTAATTGCCATCACTAAGGAGAAGGTGCTGGGATGCTGAAAGGTCTAAGGTGAATAAATCACCCTGACCCAGATGGACTACACCCCAGAGTTCTGAAGGAGATAATAATGGGCTAGTTAAACCTTGGTCATTGGTAAGCTTTTAGAATCCACTATTAAGGATGAAATTGCAGAGTGCTTGGAATTGCATGGTAAAATAGGGCTGAGTCAGCACAGCTCCTTCAAGGAGAGGTCATGCCTGACAGCTCTGTTAGAATTATTTGAGGAGGTAACAAGCAGGTTTGACAAAAGACAGTCAGTAGACTTGAGATATTTGGATTTCCAGAAGGCATTTGAGAAGGTGCCACACAGGAGTCTGCTAAATAATGCCCATGGTGTTAGGGGCAAGGTACTGGCATGGATAGAGAATTGGCTGACTGACAGAAGGTGGACAGTAGGGGTAAAGGGGTGTTTGTCAGGATGGCAGCTGGTGACTCATGGAGTTCTGAAGGGATCTGTATTGGGGCCACAGCTTTTCATGTTATGCATTAACAATCTGGCCAAAGGAACGGAGAGCATTGTTGCTAAGTTTGCAAATGACACAAAGATAGTTAGAAGGACAGGTAGTATTGAGGAAGCAGGGAGGCTGCAGAAGGACTTGGACAGGCTAGTAGAGTGGGCAAGGGAGTGGCAGATGGGGTACAATGTGGCAAAGTGTGAGGTTATGCCCTCTGGTAGGAAGAATAGAGGCATAGTCTATATTCTAAGTGGGGGAAGACTTCAGAGATCTGACAAAAGTCAAGAGTCACACAACACCAGGTTATATTCAGAGCACTGCTCCTTTGGTGCTCTGAAAGCTTGAGGTTGAATAAACCTGTTGGACTATAACCTGGTGTTGTGTAACTTCTGACTTTGTCCACCCAGTCCTACACCAACATCTCCACATCATCTCCAATTCAGAGATCTGAAGCAGAATGGGACTTGGGAGTCCTGGTTCAGGATTCTCTGACCATTAACATGCAAGTTCACTTGACAGTTAGCAAGGCAAATGCAGTGTTAGCATTCATTTCAAGAGGGCTACAAAAGAAGAGCAGAGATGCATTGCTCAGGCTGTATAAAGCCCTGATCAGACTGCATTTGGAATATTTTGAGCAGTTTTGGGTCCACTATTAAAGGAAGGATATGCTAGAGTTGGAGGGGCTCAGAGGAGGTTCACAAGAATGATCCCAGGGATGAAGAGCTTGTCATATGAGGAGCTGTTGAGGACACTGAGTCTGTACTTGGAGTTTTGGGGGATGGGGGATGGGGGTGGTGCAGAATCTCTTTAAGACATACAGAATATTGAGAAGCATGGATAGAGTAAACGTAAAGATAATGTTTCCACTAGTATAAGACTAGGGCACAAAAATACAGCCTCACAGAGATGGACTGACCCTTTAGAACTGAAGAGGAATTTCTTCAGCCAAAGGGTGGTGAACCTGTGGAACTCATTGCCACAGGAGGCTGTGGAGGCCAAGTCACTGAATGTATTTAAGACAGAGATAGATAGGTTCTCGATTAATAAGGGGATCATGGGTTACAGGGAGGAGGCAAGAGAATGGGGTTGAGAAATGTATCAGCCATGATTGAATGGCAGAGCAGACTAAGTGGGCCAACTGGCATAAATCTGCTCCTCTCTCTTATGTCTTGTGGTCTAAAATGTATCATTAGAATACGATTAGAATCTTAATATCCACCTGTCCTGTATATTTACTTTGGACTAGTAGTAGTAGTGGTAAATTCTTGCTGTTCAAAGCTATTTGTGGTGTAAATGATTTTGAAAGTCACACTTTACAGCTAAACCTACAATGATTTATAGTGAACAAAGGGTGGGTGCTGCTGTCCCAATTTCTCAGCTAATTTCACATGATTCTGGTGGTGAGAATCTGAGAAATTTTCATAGGAGATTTAAAAGAGGAGGCAGAAAGGGGTACTTTAGAATGGAAAAGGAATGCCAAATTTGGCGACTCTCAGCAAACAGATAATGCTAAAAGTCCAAAAGGGGTCTGGAAGAATTTGAAGAGAACACAGAAATAAGACAACAAAGAGTGGAGTATTATGTCAAGATTGTAACTTGGTGGAGGCATTAGGAGAAAAAATCATTTGGAGTGATGCAGGCAGAAGGTCAGAGGATACTAAAAATTCGGTAGACGAGCATCTGAACAAGATTGAGGCTAGAAGTCCAAAGGAATCAGAAAAACGGGAAAAGAGAGTAGGAGAGCAGCTTGCATCCACTGAACAAATTTGCTTCTTTGGGAAAGAAAATCTCTGTAATTTATTAAAATTGGCAAACATTGATGTGAAAGAGATCACAATAGCTTTGTGGATATTTAAATACTGGAAAGATAGATCAAGATGGTGCTTACAACTCTCTGTTGTAGAGAGCTCGAACAACAGCTTGTGCCAACTGCAGTGGATAAAGGAGTGTGGAAAAGTAACTGTCTTGAGTCATGGGTCTTACCCAAAGCATTAACCCACAATTCACTTCCAGAGCTGACTGATCTGCTGTATATTTCCAACATTGTGTATCTGTTACCTGATTAACCTGGTCTCTCATCAGCTGCATGTTATTAATTTGATTGAGTATTACTAGAACACTCATATGAGCATGCATGTAATTTGAATAAGGGGAAATCGTATCTCCTCTTTCTTGAAAGTATACAATTTTTTTCTTGCCATTTTTCCCACCTTTGAATGTAGAAAGGAAACTTTTGGAAGTTGTACACAGACCATCAATGCAATTTATTTTCTTCACCCTTGAAGATGTATCCTTGAGAAATGAAGATTTTAATGATGCTAGCCTTAAGTATTTATTGAAAACCAACCCTTAAGGTTGTCATCTGTAATTTTTGTGATATTTATTTGTATATTTATATTTATTCAACAGCCTGAATGATTTCTGGGTAGGCTGTAGGAAAAAACAAAAAAAAGGTAATGTATTATGGTGTGGGGCTACCACCTTCACTCTGCACTCTGACACCCTCCTCAATGAAAGTTCTCCACCAGTGCAGGTTCAGCCAAGGTTATATTGGAAATAGGGCAAGTAGAGTAACAAAATCTGGTTTTGCACACACTTGAGCTTATTAAAGCCATAACATAATAGAGTCCATCTCTTTACCACAAAAAGTGATCACATTTACAGTACTACAGCTATTGGTTTAAGATATGGCAGTCTTATCCAGAATCCACAATAATGATGCTCATTTCCCAGAGTTTGGATCAGTACATATAACACCTTGTAATCTGAAAATTCTGACTTTGGTGCTATACTCTGAAAAACAACTACTTTTAGCTCTTTATCTTTAAAAGCCTTCCACTTAACCAAATAACATGTCAAAGCTCCTTCCATAGACATCACTCCTTCAAACAATTATGTTTCTACATCTGATTTCCTTTTAGTCTTAATTATTGTCTGATCAATATTCCTGGGGACTTACCCACTTCAAACAATTTGAACAACAGTAGTAGCATGTCAAGGAGCTTTCCTCACAAGCTAAACAAAAAGCAAAATACTGCAGATATTGAAAACTTAGAAACAAGAATAGAAAAGGCTGGAAATAATTAAGTGTGATAGCATCTGCAGTGTTGCAGATGATCAGTCAACATTTCAGAATGAAGAACAACTATCATCTGAAAGAAGGGTTTTGCACCTGAAACGTTGACTGGTTTCCATTGCTTCACAGCTGTTTCTCAACCTTAGTATTTCCAGATGTTTCTGCTTTTTGTTTTCACATGTACTGTAACAGTTTCAGGTTGCATTATTAGTCCAAACAGCGGAATTGTGCTTGCTTGTAGATGTACTGTCAGTCATTTTGAATATGTTCTCAAACCATGAATCCACCAACTTTTGAGGTGTCGGATTGACCTGGGTAAATAATGGTACGCAATAAAATACATTATATCACAACTTTGAACATCATCATAAGTGTTTGAAGGCAGTGAAACCCTTTTTAGCGTTTTTAATCAGGGAACCAAGATTAATAGATAGTTAAGACTTCACGAAGGTTGAAAAAATTCAAAAGAAAACGCCAAATGAAGCAGTTATTGGATGATGCCAAGCTTTGGCTTTTAAAGTCTGACATAGAGAGCAGATAGGCATTTGGAGAGGAAAGTAATTGCACAATTTTGGACAAATTACATGAGATGAATGTGACGAGTCTAGATTGATACAGTTAGCGTGAAGAAATAGATACACAATATTATTGATGCATCTCCAAAGAGATAGGAGAAGAGCTTTGAGCACTGGCCAGAGTAACATTGATGAGATAAAGGAAGGACGGGTCAGTTTTTGATGAAGTTTAGAGGCTGGAGGTGGGAAATGGATCACCTATCATATAACAAGATTCATCGGATCTTCCAAGGTGTGGAAGTGCTCGGGTCGTGGACTCACTTAGCCAATGTTTAGAGCTCATGGGATAAAGGAAAATGTGTTTGGCATGTTTAAGGAATATAGGCTTCCTAGAGGCAGCAATAGAAGTGATAGAGATTTCTGGTGGTTAGTTTTGCCAGAAACATTGAATAGCTATTAAAGGAAGATTGGTGCTATCATGTTGGAGAATATGGAGTTGATCCAGCCATTGCACTGTAATAGAAATTGAGGTCATGTTTAGCAAGAAACTACAAAAATGAAAATTAATCGAACATGGATTGGAATCTTCAGTGTGCGTAAATAAGCTTTAGTGTGGGGAGGGCCCTATGAAAGGGATCAGACAGAGGACAAAGTTATGAGGAACCCCTGAGTTATTGAAACATGCCAGTTAACCCACTATCAACTACAGCCCAGAGAATGTTATTTTTAGTGACATACGGTAAACTTGGGACAGATGATATCTACAGCCCAACTTATCCTCTGTCCTTAAATCTACCTTTTCCCCATAGTGAATAATTTAAGTCCTTCAATGCAGTTAGATTATATAAATCTTCTAGGGAGCATTCATCAATTATTATTTTCTGAATTGATTTTAAATAGAAATTATGCTCAGAGGTATAATCTCCTTTTCCTCCTCTCTGCAGAAACACCAGCAGAATGAAGAAATAGTGGGTCAGGTGATCAGGGTGGCCTAAACCTCTGCCTTATGCAAGTCCTTTGAAACAAACACCAAGTCAAATTGATGGTCTCTCCTCCATCCAGTATTCCTACATTGACTGCCTCGCCTGCATTCCTGAAACAGAAGTGGAGTTTTACAACAAAGTGGTTCTCCAGGAGAGAAAAACATCTTTTTTTTTTGCAAGTCCTGAGAATTTAGACTAAAGAACATCACTGAAGTATCAGTAATGAAACTCACTTCAACAGGAAAAGGACTTCGAGTAACTTTTAATCTAGATGGAGAAAACCAATGTTGCAGCTGCTTTCAGTGGTGATGGTATGGAGTCAATATTAGTTTTGGATGAGTGGGGAGAACCATCCTGATGCTTTGTCCACTTCTAGAAAGTTGGCAAAGATCAAAGTGTAGTGCGCTGTAAATTTATCAAAAACCTCAAGGGGGGGTGGGAGTTAAGAGAAACAAGTTGAATAGTTATCTTGTAATGAGTGAGGGAGGAAAGGAAAGGGTTTACCTGATGCATTTGGTATGTTATTATGAAACTTACATGATTTTGTATTTTTCCAGTGTTTGTTAATTGAGATAATGTACAAGTGTGTGTTTTTTTAATTTTCATTGTGTACCCAATGCAAATACTCAGTAAAATGTAGCAGAAAGACTGCTTCCTGAGAGATGGTAAACCATTTTGGAAAACCATTTATTTTACAGAATTGGTGTTAAATTGGATGCAATTTCAGTGCTTCAAATCTGGCTGTAATGCGGCAAGAAAATGTTTTTCTTAAAAGGGATGATAGGATGTATTACAAAATAGTAAGTTAGTGCAGCATGAGGGTCAGTATAAACTATAACAATCAGATATTTCAACTTTTAATCATTTAGTTCATCCTAAGGTAGGTCAGCTGGGACAACAATAGATCTTAGCCTTGGGCCTTTGACTTGTTTGGGGGAGGCCATCACAAAATATTTAAGCTATGGTTACTGCTTCTCACCATCCTTTAGCTCCTGTTAGTACAGACGTATGGATGTTAAGAGAGGACAACTCAATGGCATTCTCCATAGTTGAATGACACACCAGTGTTCATTATCTTGCATGAAACATGGCAATTTTTGTGGTCCGAGAAATGTATTGCAGTCAACAGAACTTTGCTCCATTATGTATTGGTCCTTTTTCTTTTGTAAGGGTGAGGGCAGAAAAGTATCCATCACAAGAAATGATTATTTTCAAAATGCTTTTGTTTTCTTGTTTTAATATCAGGCTACTTTTCTCCCCCTAGAGAAACATCGTATGAATTTTCTTCCTACATTTGAAATTAACACTACAATGTAGCAGCATGCAACTGCAGCCTAACTATAAAATCCCATTTCTTCAAACATTGTTGTGCTTACATTACAGAATAGTGTTTGTTGCCTCTTTGGAATAAAAGGGGAGAAGGTCATGTTTTGAAAAATCAGCTTTTGGCTAATAATTTTTTTCTTTAAAAATAATGTCCTTTTTCAGTTGTGACTAGTATTCAGATCCAGCAAGGAGAAAAAAATGGGGGTTTAATTTTCTTGTGGGCTTGCAGAACTTCAGTTTCTGAAGATTGGATTAAATGGAGTAAAATGCCAGTCTGTTAGAATATACTTTCACATTCATTAAGATAAAAAATAAACAAAGAGCTGCCCTCCAGGATGTCTGTTAAAGATGCGATGAAAAACGTTTGACAGTCTTCATGTAGCACTTGATCTTGGCCTGGCTCTTCAGTGCATGTGTTGGAAACACAGTATTTTTGTTTTGTCAGGTATATGGACTTGGTTTCATATCTGACCTAGGAAGGATAAAAGGTATTTTATTCATATGAGAAACATCCTTTCAAATGTGGAACCAATTTCAAATTCAACTATTACAGCAGATGCAAGTCTAGGACTCTAAAATGAATTTGGGGCATTCTCAAACAATTCATTTTCCAGTAAGCTCAAGTCTACAACAAGCCTACATTATGCAATAATTGGGTAACAAGAGAGCCATTGGTGTAGGAATGAAAATGTCACTGCTCTGAGGATCTACTGGACTTACCTGATGATGGATAATTGGTGGAAGCCAGAGAGTCCCTAGTGGCCAAATTCTGGCAAATGCACAGTTTGGACCAATAACAGCCTAGGAAATTACAAGCAGCTGTATAACTTCAATAGTTGGGTAATAAGGAACTTAGCAGAACAGACTTCATGAAGTTTGACCATTGGCTGTAGCCCACTGTTATGCTTGAGCAGTAAGTACTCCAGAGCAATAAAGTATAAATTGGAGAGGTCTTTGAACAATCAACAGCAATCAAACTCAATATTTGCTGATTCTGAATGCAATACCTTCCGCACATGCACCTGAAGAACCAGTTATCCAGGTAATTGACTTTTTACCCTTGCGTCAATTAACATTACACAGTGACTGAGTAGCACTAAAACTCAGTTTTAAGGGCTCTGAATATCAGGTAGAACATTTTAATTGTTGCAGATATTATAAAAGGTCATGCAGATTATAATTATTTCAACCAATGCATTGAAATGAGTGACTTCTTTTTGTATATAGGTTACAGATTTATAATTTTTATATACGGCATTTGGTTTGTAAGCATGAGTCTATGAATTTAGCTGTAGAAGAAAAGTACTGTGTACGTGGTTCAGCTAATAAAACCTTACCATTTTAGTATTTTAAAAGAAATTTCTTGTTTAAATCTTGATTACCTTGCTGGACTGGCGTTTGACTTAACTTGACACATAGATAATAATTTCCTGTTAACCTTCTGCAATATCTGCTCATGTTATATTTTTAGCCCAGCACTTTAGAATTTGTACTGTTGGTGAAAACTCTCTTGAAGAATTGGTATTTAATCTCCTGATTGAAACAGTTGGAGTATACGCACCGGCATACTGTAGTGGTTTGGATGGGAGATTGACCACATAGCATTCACAACTGTTTAGATCATTGCTGGACAGCTAATGGGATTGCAAACATCATTACAGCAGAGCATCATAGAAATTATATCAAATACATTGGCCTTGTATTTTCTAGTTGAATGGAATTGATATTAAATTTTTATCAGCACAAAATTAACTTGTCACAATAAGAGAAATTGTGAAAGATGAAACACTTTTCCTTTTCAAATATTAATGCTGGCCTAACTGGCATGAAATCATGATGTTAAAAGCCCATTCGTTACCAGGTTTGACACTTGAAAAATATATGGGTATGTTGTAACATTAAAAATAGTGCCTGATTTTAATATGGAGTTAGGCATGATCAGGTAGCTATTTCAAACCATTTCCAGTAAAGGGACCATAGGGCTGTTCTTGAATTAGAGAGATGATGGGTGGAGGTATAATCCAAGGTCAGATGAGGGGAAAGATTGAGAAGGCAAGTCCTTCTGCTACCTCACACTGACTCTTTGGCTACTGCACCTATCTCCCACCAGACTTTATGCTCTGCTGTGCTCACTATTCCATGCAACATCTTCACTCACTCACTTGTTTCATATTAAACAGAAAATAGGACCAGGAATACGCAATTCAGCCCTTTTGAGCCTGCTCCATCATTCAATACGATCATGACTGATCATCCGAGTACCCTGTTCCCACATTTTCCCAATACCCTTTGATCCCTTTAGCCCCAAAAACAATATCTAATTCCTTAAACATTTAATGTTTGGACATCAACCCCTCTTTGTGACAGAGAATTCCACAGGTTCATTCTCTGGCTAAAAAAATTTCTCCTTATCTCAGTCCTAAATGGTCTTTATACCCTTAAAATGTGACCCCTGGTTCTGGACTTCTCAGTAATCAGAAACATCCTTCCTGCGTTATAACCCTGTCTAGTCCTGTTAGAATTTTTATAAATTTGTGTGAGATCCCTACTCATTCTTCTGAACTACAGTGAATATAATCCTAACCTATCCAGTTTCTCGTCATACCTCGGGCCTGCCAATCTGGGAATCAGGCTGGTAAACCTTGCTATACTCCTCCATAGCCAGAACATTCTAATAAGATCAAAACTACACACCATATTCCAAGCATAGTCTTACCAAGAACCTGTGCAATTGAAACAAGGCATCCTTGATGCTGTACTGAAATTGTCTATGAAGGCCAACATCATTTACCACCTTTAGCACTTGCTGCACCTGCATGCTTGCTTTTAGTGACGTGTACAAGGACACCCAGATTTTGTTGCACGTCCCCCTTTCCCAATCCATCACCATTCAGCTAATAACCTGCCTTCCTGTTTTTGCTACCTAACCTCTTATTTATCCACATTATACTTCATCTACTCAACATGTCAAATCATACTGAAACATTTCTGCATTCTCCTCACAGTTCATCCTCCATCCTAGATTTGTCATCTGCAAACTTGGAGATATTACATTTAGTTCCCTCCTGTAAATCAATTTGTGAATAGCTGGGATCTAAATTACTGGCCTAAGCTCAAATGAACATTTATTCCTTCTGTGAAGAAAAAAAAATCAGAGAATGTTTCCGGTCCGGTGACCCTTCCTCAGAACAGTTCTGAGGGAAGGTCACCAGACCTGAAACATTAACTCGGATTTTTTTTCTTCACGGAAGCTGCTGAACCTGCTGAGCTTTTCCAGCAATTCCTGGTTTTTATTTGATTTATTCTTTCTCTGTTTCCTGCCAGCCAACTAATTCTCTATCCATGTCAATATGCTATCCCTAATCCCACAACACTCCATAGGTACCCTATTATCAGTGTATGTTTGACAATAAGGTTTTGTCTCAGACAAAAATGAAAACAACCCTTCAAACGAAGGTGGGGAAGGGGACAATGATCATCCAGCATCACATTATCCTAGGGCCATAGGCCAAAAGGGTTTAGACAATTTATTGACAATGAAAATTACATGTCCCTAGAAATACAAGTGCCAGAAGTGGAGGGAAGTTCTGGGTTCTCATCAAGCAGAATTTGTAGGTAGACAGAGAACAGTCCTTATTGATGAGTCCTCTCCAGGAAGGTGGACTGAAAGAAGGAAGACCCAGGGAAGAGTTACCTAGCACCTCAGTTAGAACACCGTCCCTATCATTTAAATGAGAATGAAACATTTCATTTTAAACAGCCCTGTTTGTCCCCTGGTATCAGTAAACCATCCCCAATTGTTACTATTGCATACTTGCTTTATGTGAATAATATGAGTTTATTAAGCAGTACTTATCAAAATTATTTGCAAATCATCAACTGCCTATATCAAATAACTGATCATGAACACCCTAAAATCAACATAAGGGGTCAACAAATATCAGACACCCATGTCTGTGTACAAAGGTACATGCAGCTAGTGCCCACTGAGCATGCCCAGAGACACCAAGTAACGTGGCGGCTGATTGGAGCTTGTCTCAAGTGAAAGTTGCCAAGTACCTTTGCTACTTCCATGTGGAGAATTCTCAACAGCTAGCTTGTTTGCTGGGTTAATAGATGGAAAATTTGAACATTAATGAGGCAAGTTGTAGTGTTAATGAGGCACTTAAGGATTAATAGCCTAAATTGGTAACTCACTGCTGTACAGCTGACTCTTTTTGTTATGCAGCACAAAAACAGACCCTTTGTTCTAACTCGTCCACACCGACAAGACATCCTAAATAAATCTTTCCCATTTGGCCCCTATCCCTCTAAACCCTTCCTACTAATGTACCCATCTAGCTTCCTTTTAAATGGTGTAGTTGTACCAGCCTCCACCACTTCCTCTGGCAGATCATTCCATACATGCACCACCACCTGCATGAAAATCTTCCCCCTCCCCACCTTAAAGCTATCCCTTCCAGTTTTGGATTCCCCTAACCTGGGGGAAAAGACCTTGACTGATCACCCTACCCATGCCCCTCACGATTTTATAGACATCTGTAAGGTCACGCCTCAGCCTCCAACTCTCCAGGGAGGATAGACTCAGCCTATTCAGCCTCTCCCTATAGTTCAAACCCTCCATCTGGCAACATCCTTGTAAATCTTTTCTGAACCCATTCCAGTTTCACAATCCTATAGCAAGGAGACCAGAATCACGCAAAGTATCCCAAAACATGGCTTAACTAATGTCCAGTACAGCCACAACATGACCTCCCAACTCCTATACTCAATGCACTGACCAATAAAGGAAAGCATACCAAACACTTTCTTCATTATCCTATTAACCTACCTGTGACTCCACTTTCAAGGAACTATGAACCTACACTCCAAGGTCTGTTTGTTCAGCAACACTTCCCATGACCTTACCATTAAGTGTATAAGTCCAGCCCTGATTTGCCTTTCCAAAATGCAGCACCTCACATTTAAATTAAATTCCATCTGCCACTCTGCACATCTGATCAAGATCCCTTTGTACGGAGGTAACTTTCCTTTACTGTCCACTAATTTTGGTGTTAGGTATGGTTACTAAGTTTGCAGCTATGTTCACATCCAGCTCATTTATATAAATATCAAAAAGCAGCAGACCCAGCACCAATCCTTGTAGCACACCGCTGGTCACAGATAACACAGCGTGGAGCTAGAGGAACACAGCAGGCCAGCCAGCATCAGAGGAGCAGGAAAGCTGACGTTTCGGGTCAGGACCCTTCTGGTCACAGACTTCCAGTCTGAAAAGCAACCCTCCACCACCCTCTGTCTTCTACCCTATCTTTAAGCCAGTTCTGTGTCCAAATGGCTAGTTTTCTGTATTCCACGTGATATATCTTAATAACTAGTCTACCATAAGGAGCTTTGTCAAACACCTTCCTGAAGTCCATATAGATCACCAACACTTGGTAAAAGTATGAAACATGTAAAATGTTTCCAACATTAAGACTGGCCACTCCAGGCTGCTCGTATAATGCTGCAACAAATCTCACCCTAGACCATGTCACTCAGACTTCCTGCAAGTGATTCTGCCCAACATGTTCAACTTAAAGTGGTACATTTAGCAGCTATAGTCTCTCTAAATTAACATTTCTTCAGGACTTCCTGTCAATGGTACTTAGAATTCATTTAAATAAAGAGAATCCCAGCTAATCACCTATTTTAAATGTCAGTCTTTGAAAGATATTATAGCTGTTGAGGTTGGTTGGCTTGCTGAGCTGGTTTCTTGTTTCACAGACGTTTCATTATCCTGCTGGGTAACATCCTCAGTGCAGCTTCCGATGAAGTGTCGGTGTGTTCTCCCACCTGGTTTTTAAACTCTGGAGTCCATTGAGATGGATTGCCTCACTTCTGGTTTTCCTTCGTAGTGGAACGTACACAGGGCCAAGGTCAATACGTTTATTAATAGCATGCTTCGTGGAGTGCCAGGCTTCTAGGAATTTTCATGCCCGTCTCTGCTTAGCTTGTCCCAGTCGAAATGGTGGTTCTCCTTATCAATGTGGATTGAGATGAGTAAGTACTAGTCGTATCTTTTTGTAGCCAGTTGGTGTTCGTGTACCCTTGTTGTTAGTTAATTTCCTTCCTGTTTGTCCAATGTAGTGTTTCTCACAGTCACTGCAGGGGGTCTTGTAGATTGCACTGGTCCTGTCTATGGTGGGGATTGGGTCTTTATTTCAGGTGAGCCGTTGTCATAGGGTTGATGTGGGCTTGTGTGCCACTTTGATGCCCAGCGGTCATACGAGTCTTGTGAGTTCCAACATGTTCCTGATGTAGGGTAGTGTGATGAGTGTGGCAGGGTGTGGAGTATCTTTCAACAATACACTACAACAACA